TTGATGGGTTCCTCATTGTGACATTCTACATAACTGAACACTACACCTTCTCTATTTTCAAATCTGTCTTGGTTCTAATATCATTTTTACCTGTCTCATCACTCTGTGATTCTCCATGCCTTAACTGAAAGGCAGAAGAGCAGAATAGTCCTGTAAACACAATTATATGTTTCTTAGGATGTAACGATGTTCCAATTCATAATGAGAATGTTCACATATTACAGCAGTTTATATTTTATGATAACGATCATCTCCTTATTTCCCTGCAATAGCAAATCTGAATATTATTTAAATTTAATATTAAATGACAACAATGAGGAAAATAGGACAGAGATATAAAGAAAATGTTTTTTAAAAGCCACAATATTGCTAAACATATCGAAAAGCATTCTCTTAGCATTTCTATATTTGAAACTTGCCAAAAATTAACAGAAGGTGATATTAAATGTAAAAAAGGAAAGGAAGGTTTTGAAAAAATTGTATTTACACTTGTATGAAAATTAAGAATTCAAGTGTGCACTTCATCAAACCATAGATCTCAGTCTTAGCCACATAAGAACATGCTCCCATGTCTTTCCATCACCATATGCCTGCTCCTTTTCCTAATGCCCTTTACATCTTTCTATTGTAATAAACAGGCTCTAGTCTGCTCTCATTTTCATGACCATGGGAGATACTAACAAACATCAATACAGAAATAGTTTAAATCAGATATGAACATTAAATACTGGAGGGGCAAATTTCTGTTGTGATTCCCATTGATTCTGCTATTAAACCCAGTGTTCTTCATATATACACAGTTCTTCACCTGTACATACCAACAGATATCCCACTATCTCAGAGGCAAGCAGACAGCACATAATAAGTACCATGCTGTTCACTCTATTCTTGTTCTGTTGTCTTAAATTCACCTAGAAATCATAAATGAGTACATTAATGAATGAATGATTTATTGATATGTACTAATCCCTGAGTGAAATTATTTGAGTCACTTTTCCCTGGCTGGTGGCATCTATCTTTCCTGAGTCAAATTTTATTGACCTCTATTTAGTCACAGCAGGACCTGGTTTACCAATTGATAAGCAAAATAACCAAACAATGAAGATCTCAATAGGGAGTCAGCTGTTAGAATTTCATAGGGAAAACAAACGTGATGACATAACCTCTGAAAAATGCCTATTTATAAGTGTCATAATTTGTTTTATTTTGTAGACAATAGACTAATTGTTTAAATTTTATATTGCCACACTATGTAACATCTATACAATATGCAAGATACATAAATAATAAAAACATGTTTGAGTTCAGTTTCTTTCCATAAGTTTTACAAGCAACTCACTTGCTGTATTGAAATTATTTTGATTCAATGGTTCTATTGTGTTTTCTTAGACCAAAAAACTTTTGAAATCATTGATCCATTATATGGGTGCCTGGCGCAGGCCTCTATACCATCTCGTGACTGAACTGAAAGCCATGCAAAATGCCCCAGAAAGTACAATTTCAAAAGCCAATACTATTGAAGAGAATAACAGAGAACTCCTGGATGACCTTAGGTGGCTACTCACCAAGGTAAGCAATTTTCTGTTAGTTATTCTCATTCATAAAAGAGGTAGGTTGCATAATTTTTAAAAATATTCTGAAATAACCTACTTTGCCAGAGTGCAACGTAGATATCTCATCTTGTGTTTAGTCTTCTCCTAAGACATTGATTCTCAAACATGTAGGTCATGAAGCCTTTGGGGGTCCAATGACATCTTCTCAGGGGTCACTTAAAACCATTGGAAAATGTGGATAGTTATATTATGATTCATAACAGTAGCAAAATCACAGCTTGACCTAGCAACAAAAACAATTTAATGGTTGGGGATCACCATAACATAACATATGTTAGGGGACATCTTTCCCAGGAGGAATAGAAGGAGCTCAGCTATTCTCACAGTCATCCCTTGGCTCTGCATAATAAGTCACCATCTGATCTTCATCACATGTGAAGTTTACATACACAAACTACACACGGAGAGTAGATTTAGTTGAAATGCATAAAAGAAAAGTGCTATATAACAGCCTCTATGAAATATAGAGAACACATAAAAGTTTTCTGAGTGAGAAACTGATCACCACCCCATCCACTGTCCAAAAAGTCAAAAACAAATTTCCTACCTTTCCTCTGTTTGTTTCTGAAGGGGAATTCCTTCATCAGCAATCAATTTCATGTTAGGGCAAATGCACATGCATGAGTTTTAACCATAGTTTTTGTTTTTGTTTTTTTAAATATTTATTCATATATTTATTTATTATTTTATGTATTACAATATTCTTTCTGCGTGTATGCCTAAAGGCCAGAAGGGGGCACCAAACCTCATTACAGATGGTTGTGAGCCACCATGTGGTTGCTGGGAATTGAACTCAGGACATTTGGAAGTCCAGGCAATGCTCTTAACTGCTGAGCCATCTCTCCAGCCCCTTAACCATAGTTTTTACAAGGCTAACTGCTTAGGGGTCTCCTGGCCAAGATAAATGAAAACCCATACCTTTGATGGAAGCATCATTTCTGTATGTATTTCTGTGGTGATTAAGCATGTAAGAAGCAAGGAGAAAGTTATTATATTATACTAATATAATCAACAAGAAACTGACTATCATTTTGATTTTTAGGTATTTCCTACAGCAAACATAAAGGAAAAAGATCCTGTCTGGGACTATCTTTCATCCATAAAATCAAATGAGAAACAGTATAAATTTTTGGCAATGTTTAACCTTTCCTACTGCCTACGGACAGATATATTACACACTGTACGTCATCTGAGAACATTGAAGTGTCGAATAACTGAGAAAGACTGCTAAGTGCTCATCTACCCTGACTGCTTTGGAGATGGTCCATAACAGTCCATTGCCAAGAAGTTTCTTTTAATGTTATACCTTGTGAATGCATGTGTGCGTATAACAGGCCACTTTTTGAAAAATAAAAACATTCTTATTCTTAAATCTAAAAAGTCTATTTTTCTTTTGTTCATTGAATAAAATATCTATCATATTAAGGTTAGGTTGCCCCAATCAAATTCATCACAAATAATAGATGTTATGTATGCCAAAAACATTCATGGCTTACTTCACAGGAAAGAAATGAAGCTCAAGTTACTCAAGCAAAGTGTAAAACTCTCAATTAAATAATCTATGTACCATAATAAGAAATGTAAATTTTATAATGCTTCATGAAATCAAGACTGTCCTTAGGGAATAATGTTCACTGTAAAAGCATAGCCAAGACAATACGATTGCTGTGTGATTCCACAGTCTAAAGACAATTTGGGAGGAAGTGGGGCAAGGAGTAGATACAATAGAGACATAACAAATGCATGAATGAAATTTCCAGCCAATTTTAAAAACTAAAAATTGCTTTAGGATGCAGATGTCAGTTGCTCAAGATCTCTTCATTGTGTCCCACTATAAATTTGCTTCTCCATTACATGATCATAGGTGTGTTCTGCAGGTTTTCATTTCTCTGTGTCAAACACGCCCTTCTTTGCTCTATGTTTATTTTATTTGAACTAGATATATTCTTCATATAATCTGTGTCTTAAAATCATAGTCATTTTGAGATGTTGATACCCTAGGAATATCTGCACAGAACTCTGATGAAGCAATAAATTGCTTTTCTTCCTAATCAAGATAGGGAACTTTTAACTTTCTATTATCAAAAACTATTTTTTATTCTGTTCCAATTATACCCTAAATGTTGTGGCAAGCTGTGCTTTGATATTTTTGAGTCAAATATGTGCTTAAAATAGCACCAGTTACTTATTGTACTTACTGGTTTCTTACAGTGCTATATATTCACTAAATTTGTAGCTTCTTTTGTTGAATATCTGAGATATACATGAATTATAGTATAGACTGCACATTGTTACATATTTAGTCTTTCTCATATATCTAACTATCAAAATCATCTCTCATGATCAACTCAATCTAAACTGGCTACAAAAATGAATGAAAATATATCAAACCATGAACAACAAATGGAGGCAGTTTTCTCATGTAGTGAAGGGCGAAAGGGCAGAGATTAGAGGGACCACCATATCTGGCTCAACTCTTCTATACATAGAAACACTGATTGCTGAGTTCTTCGGCTATGTGCTTTGGAAAATTACTAGTGCACGCCTAAGAGAGGTTCTTACTACTTCCAAAAAATATATTTCGAGCCATAATCAGAAATAAATTTTGACTGTTGCATCATAAGTCACTAATGGCATTTTTTTCTGTCTTCTGATCTCTAAATCTCAAAAAAATGCAAAGGAATGCAAATCCAGAAGGAGGGGAAGAGACATTGTAGGACCTGTTCATCTCTGCCTTCCCTGCTTTCTTACTTCAACCACTTGAGGATGAGAGCAAAGTTCTAAAGAACATTAATGTGAACAAAAATGGATATGAGCCTTGGAAAAACTTGTTCTACTCAGCATGAATTGAACATCTGGAATTTGTCTAAGATGATGCTTCAGAGACTAGAATTCAGAGGAACGTGGTTAAAGACAGTTGGAGAGAGTTTCAGAGTCATTTCACACTTGCGGTCTAACACACTTCAAATTATTGCAAATTTTCACAGTATTTACAGATAATGCGAGTGCATGCTGCCTATTCTCTCAATCCATATTCTGGAAACCAATCCAATAGGGACTACTTGGCATTTAAAATGTAGCTGCCAAATTCAATGCATTTTGATGGATTTTAGATACTGTAAAACAGTAACATTGTTTTTTGCTGATTCTAACAATTTTAAATGTATTAATATTCTGAAAACGCAAAGGAAGTTGTATAATGTGTTTGTTAGGTTCTTAACTTCTGTTATTTGTCAAATATTTTGTTTTTGCACAATCAACAAAAGAAACTTGGACCAAATTGAAATTCCAACAGTTTTTATTTTTAAAGAAAAGAGGAGAAAACTGGAGCCTTGTAGTATTGTCTTATCTAGGGGCATCTCAGAAACAGATGGTATAAATTTGCTCTTAGCATTTGTCTTGGATAATTTGGTACTTGAGGACCTCAAGAAAAGTGTTTACTCTGCGGGAATCTCTGAGCAGGCAGTGGATCAGGTTATAAAAGGCAAAACAGCGAACATCTTCATTGCTTGACTTCAAGGATGCCAGGCCAGACCAGACAAGGTAGCTCTTATCATATTTCTCTCCAATCTAAACATGATCACCAAAAATATAATCAGCCTAGTATTAATTGTATTTTAGTATTTTACATGCTTATTCTTTCTAAATATAGATTTATGAAAGTACTTGTAAAGTTAAAATCATAAAATAAATATAGATTTTCATGGATATACTTCACCAAGCCCAAATGAATACATTTTCTGGCACATGTAAAAAAGCTAGTAAAATGTTCTTTACAGGAATTGATAGATGGACAACCAGCAAGGTGTTACTTAATTTTGTACATGAGTGACATAGGGGCAATGGAGGAACTGATTTCATTTTTATGATTGAACAAACTTTGTGTGTCCTAACCATAGACTCAATCTTGCTTTTTTTCTACTTTAAGGAATTTGACATTAAACCAATTTCCCTTCTGTTTTTAACCAAACCAGTTGTCCAAATACTGTGTGTACAATAAAGCCTAGAACAAATGAGGATTGCTTTGGATAGTTCAAGAGGCAAATATTCAGAGGATTATTGTGTTAGAACTATTGAGGTAATTATGTATCTGTCTTTATACCCAGGAAAGATACTTGGGAGAGAGAAAATTCTGCCTACTGATAACCCTGGATAAGGGACTCAGAGTGAAGTATTATTGAGAGGTGTCCATGTGTTGATAGTATCCCTTTTGATAAAAAGGATATAACTGATATGAATGCATAAAAATGTTTCTCCTAGGAATCTCAGAAACGTCATATTTTTCAATATTTTACTTTCTTATTTTTGAAATAATATAATTACATTATTTCTCTCTTCCCATTCTTACTTAAAAACCTCCCATATATTTTTTTTTGCTATTTTGAAAATTCATGGCCTTTTATTGATTTTTACATTTACACATTTGTATTTACCTATGTATTCCTAAATATAAAGCCTAATTATTCTGCACAATATTACTCATATGTATATTTTAAGTGATGACCATTTGGTATTGGAAAACCAACTGATAAACTTTAACTTGGAGAATCTTATTTCTCCTGTTCTCAACGTCATTTAGTTGCTTGTAGTTGCTTGGGTTCTTGGGGTAAGATTGAGGACTCATTGACCCTCCTTTGAAGCTCTGATCACATTTGTATGTTTATTGGAATTGCCCTTGTTCATCTCTTGCTTAGGAAACCATGTTGCTGAGACTCTGCGGATGATGTTTATGAGATTCCTAGGAGAGACATTTTTATGCAAACTTCCTGATTCTATGGTTTATAAATCTTTCCTCCCCATCTTCTTCAATGTTCCTTGAACCTTAGATGTGGGAATATTTTGTAGATGTATCCATTGGAACTGGACTTCATAACTCTTCATTTTGACTGGTTACGATTTTCTGTAATAGTCTGTATGAATTACATTGATTTTAAATTTTTGTGCAAAGTAAAACATTTAAAAATACATTAGTCATTACAAAGAACTCCTCATTTAAGTATGAATAAAGCTAGTCAGCAGGCTGCTCACCTCACGGAGTATTGTTTTAACTCCCACCATGAGTTGTCCAACTTTTCCCTGAATGTCTCTGGCTTTGGCGAGGATAGCATTAGGGTCTCCTGGCATGGCAGACATTTCTTTCACAAGATGATTCAGAGGGTCATTCCAGGAATACAGTAGATTGCATAACAGTTTCAGTAGAACTTCTGGCTAAGTAACCATTGAAATAGGATTAGATAAGGAAGCTTTGCTCTAAAAAACTAAAACATTTCTGTAGCTATTCTTATTGTTTTATATAGGATACAATTTGTATATGTGAAAAATAACAATGACATTATTATGAAATTTTGTGGAAGATTAAATTCAAAACTGTCAGTGGAGTGCTCTATGAAGTGTCTAGCAAAATAATCACTCTCAATAAATAATTTCTCTTGCTCAAACTTCCACTGTTAATTTTTATTCTTTATTTATAGCATAATTATTTAAATGAGAATTGTAGACCTATATTTGCCATTTAGCAAAACATGAAGAATGAACTGTATCTTATAGATGTGTAGGGATATATGATAATGTTCAGCTCAATCCCGAGATGTGTTATGGCAGGGAATCATATACGAGAGATGATAACAATCATAAATTGGAGCTTAAAATGATATGTAGACTTGCCATCATACTTAAAGGATGATTTTATCCCTAGAAATAACGTACAGCATTCATTAGATTCTTATTCTCAGCTGATTTTCAGTTACAAAATAAAGGTAGATCATTTAGGAATTAACACATAGTGAAAGAACTTAACAATCAGAAATAAACATGTCAGTATATACTGTGCTGTCAAATTTGGCTCCATCAGTAACCATGAGAAATAAAACTGCATTTGCATTGTATATGATTACATTAATGAATATTCAACCAAGAATGTTAATGTCAATTGAAATGTTCCTGCATGTAATGACTAAAAATCCAGGAGTTTAAGGTGGTAAAGGATCTTCTCCATGTAAAATTAGAGATCCTCTAAAACACAGCTTAGTATATTTCACTTGTAATTTACTAGCCCTAGATTATGGCTTCATTAGTTCTCTATGATCACAAACAAGGAGCCTCTGATCACATTCACTATATGTGGAAATGCTAGGTTGCTTCAGTTGATCTGGTAAAGAAATACAAAAGAATAAACACTTACTTTGCTTTCTAGAACTTGGTTCTTGTTTCCTGGGGTATCAAGAAAATCAGTGGGACAGGTGTCAGGGATCCTGTCATTGTACCTCTTGCCTTGGGCATATTGTTTGTCCTGGACAGGATGAAATATTAAATAAGCTAGAGATTGGAAATTATATGAAGTATTCCATGACCCAAATTCTGATGCATTTGATAGATGATATTTAATTTAAGCTCAACAGAAGAGAATTGATGCCTAGTAATGTAAACCTCGCCAACTATTTGTAAATGGAGGTGTCTGAGAACCTATTACTGGCAGTTCTTAATCCAACATATTCTGTAACTGTATTCTAAATTAATATCTTTATGCCCACAGATATGATTAATCTCATCGCTCACCAAAGAAGGTTCTTATTGAAATTGATTGAAGACCATTATAGAGATCCATAACTGATTAAAATGCAGAGAATGAATGACTTTGAGATTCCCAATTCCAACTGATATATCTGTAATGCATCCTTAAGCCTAGAGTCAGAGAAACTCTTAAAGGGGCAGTGGGGTAGAAAGCTTGTAAAAGACGAAGTCCCAGGAAACATGCTTCTTTAGGTATGACAGGTAAAGTGAACCCAGAATGCTCAACAATGCAACTGACCGAACAAGATCAACAAAATAATAATACTGGCTGACTTGTTAACGTATACAGGAGAAATACCACACAGTTCAATCCTTAGATGAAGACTTACAGGGGATCTATGGCTGCCGAGAGAGGGAAAATCAGGTGCTTCCAGTGATGAGTACCCACATCAGTTGTCTATTCTACGTAGTTAGCCATGGATAAATGCACATATAGGCAAAGGAAAATGTGAACATACATACATATATATTTACATACATGCAAATATAGATATATTTGATATGTGTATGTATATATATAAGACAGCAATAATAATAAACCATGAATTTGTTATAGGAGGATACTGAAAGATTTGCTGAGGAGAAAGAAGGGTAACCCTTTCACAGATGCAGCATTCATGTATGAAATTCTAAATAAGAACAAGCTGCTACTGAAAAGTTGAAATTAATATATTAGGAGAAAGACTACAGTTTAAAACTTGATCAATAGTCTCATTTTCCACCCAAATAACCCTCAAACATCCCAACGTTCCCCCTTGTTTGTTATTCTCAGACTTCTTAAAAGTTGTTCATTGCAACAACAAAATTAGCAAAACTACAAACTGCTAAGTATATATCATCTTTATCTGGCATTTCTGACAAGTGCCATAGTAATTAAGTATATATAGTTTCTAGTTTCTAACTCTGTTTGTTAAACATCTTAACATTATAGCTCCTCTTGTTACGACGTCTGTATCTATACAATTTCATTTACCAATGTCATTGTTAATTCAGAGTACTATTTTGCTGATGGCACCAAGTAATAAAATCTCTTGGAATAAGACAGGAAATAATAAGTTAAGAGATAATTAAGATAGAAAATTAGGATTTGCAATTATCAATATTTATTCATTAATTTGCTACAATAGATTTATTTCTTAAAGTCATTCTGTAAAACTGTTATTGTTATTGTTTTGATAGTTTGAAGGGATACTTAAGATGACTTCACATATTCAAGGCAACCCATCAAGAAATGAAAATGGCAGAAACAATAGTGTACAATATGAATGCTAGAGGCGTATGTCTGTGTGTGTGTTATGCAAACTTGAGTCACATTCTTACATATCCATTGATGTATGTATGGAAGTACTTATTGATTTCTATAAAACAGGTAGCATAATATAATATGCAGCTTTCAATGTATTTTAATCATGAAGACATTATACACTTTCATCTCTATACCAGAACTCCTTGTTGCAAGCATATGAATTTGAATTGTTTAAAACGGATTCACTGCATTTGCAGATTTATAAAGAAAAAGAAATGGAAAAGTTCTGATGACCTGTGTCAGTATCTCTACTGATTGTAGTTCTCTGCAAAGTAATCCTCATTTATTAGTTATCTGTAATACCCAAAGTAAAGACACCAGAGGCCAAAACACTAAATCAGTGGTTTCTAACCTGTGGATCATGGTCCCTTCAGGGGTCACATGTCAGATATCCTACATACCAAATATTAACATTATAATTCATAATAGTATAAAAATTATAGTCATGAATCAGCAGCAAATTAATGTTATGGTTTGGGGTCACTACCACCTGAGGAACTGTATAAAGGGTTGAAACATTAGGAAGGTTGAAAACCACTGCACATAATGAAGGAATAAAAATCGTGCCTTTCTCTTAGACATACATTTTATGGCCCTATGTCACAAGAGTAAATTAAAATAAAGTTCAAAAATAGAGAAAAGTATCAAAATTATTTCATTTGAGGATGTAACTGACATTTTTGAGAATATCCTTTTCTCCTGCTAAAGGGTATAGTAGCTGCTAATTTCTTCTCCCTATGATGGCTCATTGCTTGAAATTTCCGTCATGATCTTCCTACGTTAGGCTATACTATATCCCAACCACTAGCATGAAGGCCCATTTTAAAAGGAAGTCATTAGTGACAGGAGTACTTACAAATTCGGTGAACAGATTTGCAGCTTGTCTACTGGTGATCTGAGAAATAAAGGTGGCCAATGTAAACAGTCTCCTTAAGGACTTCTGGGTATCCCCATCCCTCTTGACACAGGTGGGGGCAGAGGTCACATTCTCCCACAAAAGTAGGTAGGACACCAGGAGCCGCAGGAGTGCCCTAGCTAAAGGAGAAGAGAAGGCACTGTGAGGGCTTTTTCTCTTAGGTTGTCAACAATCACCCTGCCAATGGTAGTCTTATCGGAGTGACTTTTTTTACACCCTCGGTGCTTCTAGATGTGCTGGGTAATGAACATCTTCCACCGTGCAAGTTTAGTTATGCAAATATATTTGCAAAGACTTATATTTTGAAATGTGTCAAAGATACTGAATTTTTAGCATAAATTTCAAGACATGTTTTCTGTTTTTTCCTAACATGTGAAGCTGAACATGAATTAAGTTAGGATGACCTAATTCTATTCTTATGGTTGTTTAATGTCCTGCAGATTTCTCTTGGTTTTGGATAAGACACTCAAGAATTTGTAACTTGTATTTTAGTGTCTAATATTAGAATATTTGACCCTCATCTGACGAAGGCAACATGCACATGATTGCTTTATCTTCATTACTTGTGAAAAATACTTTACTTGCCTTTCTATTGATAGTGAGGATGAAGAGAATGTTCTCATAAACATGATGCCACTGCCTGGAATTGCAAACTCAGCTCCAAAATGTCATGTATTTATTCCTTTGCAAAATGTTTTAGACATTTTCCTCTCAATTTGATGTTTACAATAAGTCTGTGAATAGGCTTAGCAACATAGTTGCAATGAAAACACAAAAATAAATAAACTGAATTTGTAGCTCTGTGATTTTGTAATAATCCCATTATTAGCAATTTTAAAAGGCCACACAAAAACACAATGAGGACTTTGCTCCTCCTTTGACATTCAGTGTGGCCACGAGTTTTGGTTATTACTAATAAGGGACAACACATTGTCCTTGGTGACATGTCACTGGCTACAAAAATTTGATTTATTTGATTTCTCTTCTCTATATAACAGATACTTTTAAATGTTTTTGCAATGATCAGTGTTGATTTTATCAGTTTCCTTTAAATGTGTCCTTTACTTGAAGAACCACAGAACTGTAATGCGTCAATAGTTAACAACAGGGTAAAACACCATGCATTTATCAAATTAAAAGTCTATTTACTTTTATGGACACAAGTCTGAAACAAATTATGTTATAAAATATGATTCTTATGACTAGATTTCAATAGAAACTTTGTTAATATTAATAGTAATGCCCAACACAAACTTAGAAAATTGGTAGGGGGAATGTAAGGGAAACATCTACACCCAAATACTTAAAATATCAAAATATAGCAAAAAGTGGTGTAAAATACAGATAACCATCAATTTTATACATAAAATAAAAATATTATCAAAATTTATATGCTGCACATTTTCAAAAATATACATACTTTCCTAAATTTATTTTAGGAGTGATATGCATATATTAAATATATATGTACACTCCATACATGTCAACTGAAGAATTTTCATAGTCCAAAAAGAAAGACTCATTATTTTTTTCTACTTCATGAAATCAAGTTCATATGTGTTACTAATTCATTTTTGTTGAGATATTATTAAGAAAATAAAAACAAGTTAGCATTAGTGTGAGGTTTTGCATCACCATTTTACTTCAACCTAATTGCCAAGGTTCTGTAATACCCACATCTACTAGGCTTGCCTACATTTCTTTCCAGAAGTAGAAAATTGGTTACACTCATTCAAGACAAAGAACTCACAGTCAAGACTCCAGACCCAGAATATGTTACTACCTTCCTTCCTAATATGTTACTAATTTGACCCATAGAACCTACTGCTATCATTTCATCTCAATGTCTCCTGGTTTACAATTTTTATTTTTGAGTTGAATATACCCGTTTCATGTAATATTTGGAAAAAGCCCTGGTTTCTAACCCTTAGACATGGGTAATGTCCCACAACCACTTTTTTACATTATATCAATTAATACAAGACAAAACGTCTCTGGACATAGCTCCATACCTCTCTATGCCAAAATGACTCCCCTTTGAAACCCACTAATCCAGAATGTATTTTCTTCCTATATTAATGACCATAAAGTATGTCTAAAGTCTATGTGGCATTGCTTTTCCTTGTTAGGTATGAATAAATGTCCAATTATCCCAGGTAGGGCAACAATTATAGCAAATAAATAAACTTCCCAATAACATAATGCTAAAGCATCTATAGTGGAACGTAAATGAGGAGTTACTTACAGGAAAATATTTGAGTCAAAGACAATGGCATTGCTGAGCAGTCACACCCCAGCTTCTCTGTTGACTGAAGAAATCTGTTTCAGTTTGGTTCTTACTCTGTTAGCTTTCCACCTCCTATATAGCAGAGCACATCCTGCTAGAGGGCAGAAGGAAGTAACACCAAAAATCTATATCAGGATCTTATGACCTCTAGGGTCAGGGAATCCAATCTAGTATGTGTGACTATGGTCATATGTGAATCTTTGTGCTTATCTTATTTCCGGGTTGCGGGTAGTGTTCAAGATATTTTGTTCATAGCCTCAGCCATCTCTGGTTCATGAAAACTGATGTATTTTTATACTCAAATAGAAATAGCTATGGACCAGGCATTAACTATTTTCTTAAGATAATTGCATGTTCCTGTCACCTTATCTGCAATGCTGATGAACTACCAGGTTCTATCAATAGGTATTTATTCTCAACTGTTTATATTTTGCAAGTCTTTATCAGTATTTGTGGTATACTGTACAGAGTTTTACTTGGTAGACAGATAAAAGAAGTAACAGGTAAACACACAGTTTGGAAGGCAACTGGTAGAAACATCACATCTATTGAAACAAACAACTGCAGAGGCCATATTATTAGGGATTATTCCATCCTTAGACACAAAATTTGAAGTTGAATAATACCAACTACAGGTTCTATGAGGCTAAGATGATCTTAAATTCAATGAGAAAGCAGTTTGCCAACCTTATAACAGTTGTATCTTTATTGGCCTAGGGGTTACATCTTACATGTCTGCGTGTTCCATTATCATCTTTTGCACCGGTCTTATAATGACACTTTATTCCAGTAACTAATATGGCACCATGTGGCATGATGAAGCTTCCTTAGTACTAAGAAAATGTCCATTCATTCTCAGTCTAATTTCTTCATAACATGCAGCATGAATATGTAGATTCAGCAATAAGTTCTTATCACTTAGTTCTGACATGCACCGAAATCACTGACAATGCCTCTATGGGTTCGAATCCAAAGAGTCTACCTGAGCCAATAACTCAATGGAAGTTAACCAATCTGGTCTCAGAATTTTCCAACAACCTAATAGGCTTTGGTGTTACCTATTTCTACCATGAAGTGTTCCTTCTGGCATATTCTCAACTGGTATGATTACTACTCTTTTTGGACTGATCATTTTCATCTATCTTTTTTCTCTGCTCCTTGAACAGTTGTAGGTTAGTGTGTTGATCACCATCCTCTGCTAAGAGAATCTTCTTAGATGGTAGTTGAGAGATGCGTTAAACAGGGATTATAAAAAAATCATCAGGAGCAAGTTTAATGCTCTGCCAATTTACCAACCTAAAAGCAACAAATTTACCACTAACTAGCACGTCTGTCCTGTATAGCTAGAAGTTCTTGGTCTGATAATAGTACCAGATATATGTTTCATCTAGTGGAGTGGGACTTAAACCAATCAAGAAATAAGTTAGGCACTTCAATTATATTCTTGCTACTGTTGCATCAGTGGGCATTTCTTGAGATATCAGGCATTGCTATAGATGGCAGAGTTCACAACTGTGTGTAACTGATTAAGTTCCTGCTTGGGTAGCTTGCCTGGCACCTTCCAACACTATCGAAGCTAGCCAGTAGACATGAAGCTTCCAGTTTCCTACCAGCTTGCTTTTGTTTTTGTGTTGTCCTTAGTAATAGTCTTATTAATTCTGGGGTTTGGCCAAGAGCAGTGGTGACCATGTCATTGTAATAGAAGTTTCCAAACTTTAATGCTTTTTTTCAAAGAACCACTCCTAAATTTCACTAATTTTCCCATTTTTTATTTTTATTTTCACTGACTGTTTCTATTGAGTTTGGTATTTTTTGTTTCTCTTTTCCTTCTTATTTCTTTATAAAGGGATTTTAAACATTTCCTCTTATATATGCTACAGGCTATTATTCATTTCAGTACATCTGTGGATGCATACTGCCAGTTTTGAAATGATACATTTTATATTTTATGAGCTTAACCCCTTCTTCTTTTGCTATTTTGCTCATTGTCAAGGATGATTTAGCAGAGTACTGTTTAATAATTTATGCTCACTCATGCTTTCGTTGCATTTTGTTTATAAAATTTTGCTTTCCTTTCATTACAATGAGAATAGTCTTTATGGGATTTAATTATGTTATACATTGACACATTATTTATTACTACTGCTTTTTCACACCATACTAGGCTAGGATGTGTTTTTCTACTCAATTCTCAGTTTTTGCTCAGGTCATGTTTAGTTTATGTGTTCTATGGCATTGCACAATCACCAGAACCTATTTGCTCTATTATTTTCTCAAAGTGAGGATGGTATGGGCAAATTACAGTCACAGGATTCATTAATTAATACCTTTAGAACTTAAGTTATTACTCTCTGTAACTTTTATTACCTCTCTTGATTGTAATGAATACATTGAATATAACTGGGCATGTACTACCTATTCTACAGTTCATGAATAGCTTCTCTAACACTTCCAACTGCTATTTAGACCAGTGCTGCTTGCACAGGCCTGAAATCTCAGAATGTGAATGGTAGAGGCAGAATCTGAAGAGATCAACTTATCTGTACCTTTTTAGAGAGTGAATTCCCAAATAGCCTGGTTAAGGAGACTGTGCCTTTGAAATTGAAGTTACAATGATCTCATGCTGGGTTTGTGCTTTTTACATTAAATAACAAAATCATGTCATTTTTATCAGCAATAATTACATGAGAACCTTTATTTGAGGTGAACTTGTATACATATGTATTATTTTATGTGTACAAATGTATGTATCTGTGCAGGTGGTTGTCACACATCAATTTTCATGACCATGTAGTAGTCCAGATGTTGATTTTTCACTGTCTTAATAACTTTTCAACTCATTGATAGATAGGAATCATGTATCTTCTACGAATTAACCATTTACGCTAGCATGTCACACCACACAGGCCACGGATACTCTCGATTTTTTTTCCCCTCTTCTCAGTTTAAGAACCTATGACTTCATGGCTGGTATTGCACTTGGGTGCATAGATATGACTCATATCTTTAGGACTCTGTGCTAGCTCTTTATCTAATGAACCAGGTCTCTAAAAATTTCCTTTGTGGCATATTTCATAAAATGCTGATATTGCTTCTTCACATCCACTTTTAGAGTTGACCAGTATTGTTTGTTGGTAAGAATACATTTTCCATTGGAAATTTCGAATATGTGTTGCAAACCTGGTGGCTCTGTGTGCATGAGCTTCTTTTCTGAGTCTTCTATGTAATTTCATAATCTTTGTACCTGCCTTTATACTAGTCTGACGTTGGTGAGAAAGGTAACCACATTGACACTTCAATCTTCAGTCATCTTATACTTTGCGATATACATTTTTCCATGCCTATATGTTGATAAATTTCAGATTCTCATCGGCTACTTTACCTGGAGATGGTTTTAACATTTGTGAGTTTGTAAATGTTATATTACATAATGAAAAAATTTAAGGAATGCTTCTGATTATTCAAGGTCCATATCTACCATCTTCATATAAGTATTAACATTAAGTGCTGAAGGAGATTTTTAAATAGTTTTTTTAAAAAACATAATAATCATCCAGGCCTTATTTGAGCAGCAGTGTGGATGAGATTTCATGAGTGCAGCTTCTCTGACATTTCTAGGAGATGAAACCTGACAGTAACCTTTCTGTTTCTTTAGCTCTTAGAACTTTTCTTTTTCCTATTCTCCATTGATTCCTGAGTATTAGGTTCTGGAGCTGTCTTGTAGCTGTATCAACTGGAGAAATTGTTATCCAGGAGGCTTAGAGGGACAAAAAAAGGGGGAATGCATTTTAGGAAATAATATTTCAGTTTTTGTCTGCATATGCAATCATCATTTCTTGAAATAACGAATCTATACTGTAATTGCTACATGTAAATAGAATTATAGCTGAATTTAATACCTGAGTTCCATTCCTCCAATTCTTATGTCTACCCAAGTATAATACAGTTTGTCTTTTCTACTCGAAGATACTAAGTTTGGGTGGGTGTCCTTATGGGACACATTTTGTATAACATATTTAGAAAATATCACCTTTGAACATAAAACTAAGAGTAACTTAAGAGTACGTGCAAAGTGAGAGGCTTTGAGTCTAAATATGTTCACCCAGTTCCTAAATACAGATAAGGGTTGTAACCAGGATGTGACCATAGAGCAAGCCTGAATCTGTGAGACCAAGAATCCAGGTGAAGTGACAAAATTCTAAAGATAATAATGGGCCCATTTACCCTCAGCCAGGACAAGCAATGGCAGCTGTCAGTACAATGGGATTTGAATAGTAGTAGAGTATGCCTCAAGATGATGAAGACTAAAGACTCATGTCCAAGTTCACTTTCATTTCTTTGATAAATCTTATCAAGTAAGTTGGTTGGAGAATAGTTTGTTGTGAGATATACTGCAAAGGGACACATTTTCTCATGGCAGAGAAGCTGAGAAAGTGGGTCTCAGGATTTTCCACAAGCAGGAAACAGAGGTATAGAATGGTTTTGATCTATTTCTTTTATCCTGTATGTTTGGTCTGGGACATAGCCCATACAATGGTTGATCACATGTGTGGTGTTAGTCTTCTCTTCTAATTCAGCTAGTTACAGAATGCCCGCCCCAGACATATCTTTTTCTCCTAGATAACTCTAGATGATAACAAATTGCCAACCTTCATTAACAATTGTAAATCCAATTCCTCTCACATGATGTGGTAGTGTGACTGAGCAATTTCTGTCATGTTGTTCAGTATTTATATGGCTTCCAACTTGTGGTGTAGCTTTGCTGAAGAGAGTGGAAAATGAGGGCTAAACAGTGAGAGATAAAGAAGCTTTTGCCTATTTCCATTATTCCTATACCATGTTTTCTATTATAGTTGTGAACGCCCAGCTTCCTGTTCCTGCCATATTTCTACTTCTTGACATGCCTCCATTTTGAAAACACAGAGTCTTATTCATCTGGAACCACAAGCTTCAATATATTCCCCTTTTTTTGTGTTACCTTTGGTCATG